GTCTTCTGTTTAAAAAACTTTGCAACAGCTTTACTCTCCATGTTTTCATCCACATACGCTTGTGAATCTTTGTTCTCAGTGATGAATTTTGTTAAGTCTCGTCATAGGAGTATCCTTACATATGAAAGTAGTAGCTTGTGCATATCTCCAAAGGTCACAAAATATAAACCTGCTGTAAAATCTCTGTCATCAGTGATGCAGCAGCAAAAGTCCCACTGATAATATCAAACGGAGTCATAAAGTTTTCTGTCGGTCTATCAGTGTACATGTATACATTAAAAGATAAATGTATTTTCATCATCATATACTGTGTTTTTGTCACTCGAATGAATTTTATCATTTCTTCAAGGTTCTTCACATACGTACACCTTAAGAGATATCAAGTAGGCATAACATGTTCTCAAAAAATTAGGGTTGGCACGCAGAAGAATTTTGAGTCAGAGATTTTGCTGGTTTTGGCACACACTCACAAAAAGGTTGCCCACCCCTGCCCCATACTCAAGGAGTACTGGCACTAGAGGTTATAAAGTATGTTCATTTTTATTGCACAAAACAGGATATGATAGGTGCCATAAGAGCTAAAACAGATGGGATGTGAGGTCAGACTAAGGAGAATCAGTTCTTGCTATAGGAAATAAGAATGTTGTATTTATAAAACAGGTGACATGGGCACTGGCTCATGAAGGATAAGTGAGGCAAGTGAATTTCACCTGAAGGATATGGGAAATATCCTAGGTGAAGAGAAGGGTACAGTTATGATGAGAAGAGAATGGGGAATGGTCCAGATTGGCTGGGGTGGAAGGCATTAGTGAGAGGCAGAACTGGACAGGTAGGTTGCTGTGAGACTATACAGTACCTTCATCACAGTTTAGACTTTACTTGGTAGACAATGAGGAGTCATTTGTGAAAGTTTTATGGAACAATATGTGCTATAATAAAATCTGTATTTAGGAAAATTAAGTAGCAGTGCTTCCCAACCTTTCCCACATCACAGCACACAGAAAATGATAAAATTTTTCTCACACTAGTGTCAATGGGATGGGAACTGCTTAGAGCAGGAGGCTACTGGCCTTGGGTCATCCCAATAGCTAAAGCAGCGGTTCTCAACCTGTGGGTCGTGACCCCGTTGGCAGTTGAACGACCCTTTCACAGGGGTTGCCTAAGACCATCCTGCATATCAGATGTTTACATTACAATTCATGACAGTAGCAACATTACAGTTATGAAGTAGCAACGAAAATAATTTTATGGTTGGGTCACAACATGAGGAACTGTATGAAGAGTTGAAGCATCAGTGCTGATGAAGACAGGTTCAAGCCAGAAGAAAAACATGTGAGGTTGCTCATGACGGCTGGACTGGTAAAAATTTTTGCAAAAGATTTGCTTCATGCACCTTGCAAACTTCTGAACCCTAGTAATTGATACTGACTACCCTATATCATCCCCTTAGCATCCTCTTTCTAGCCCTATGTGGGTATAGTCAGCAGAATTTAACCACTTAGTGAATGTGAAAAGGAATTCAAGGGCCACAGAGAGTTTGCAGCTAGGTGATTTAGCAGATGGGAAATTGATTTGGTAGGAGGAAAGTGAATTCTCCTTTGACATGTTGGGCCACTTGCAAAAAGTAATTAGTAAAATTAAGGGTCTAGATGAGACTTCCAAGGAAGACTGGTGAGATTAAAGAGCAAAGGTCCAAGATCAGACCTTAGGAATACATTCATGAGGTGATAAGGGGAAAAGGAGCTAATGAAGGGAATTAACATTTGAAAATTAGGACTGTCATTATATTTGGTTATGATTATAGACATGAATGGGAGATATTATTTTCCATTTATCCCCGTTATCCTTGTTTAGCATTAAAAATCCTATGGTTCAGAGTGATGAGTAGCTTGTCCAAAGTGTCAGCTAGTGGTAATAAAGCTGGCATAAAGCAAACAATTGGAAACAGGAATGTTTGAAAAGTGCAATGTCTGGGAAGGCAACATTTTAGAAAGGGGTTCATGGAGGTGTTGACCACAATAGCAAGTACCATAGCAAGTTTGAAGAGCATGCTATAGAATACAGAACATATAGACATTTAATATTTTCTAAAACATAAAATGTTTTAAATTCATGAATCTCTCTATTCAGACAAATGCCCTGTCAGGGTATTCAATTTAATTCTACTTAAATACTAGGAGTAAAATACCTGACCTCAGGGAATTTATTTTAATCTAAGAGGAGAATAAGACAAGTATACATATATTAATAAAAATAGTAAGACAAATACTTGAAGCTTTTCTCCTCTAAGTTTTCAAAGCATCCTCTTTATACCTCTAATTTTGTGGTTCTCAAATTTTAGTATGCCTAAGATACCTGCTTACGCTTCCCCAGAAATTCTGATTTGTTAGGTCCAAAGTGGAGTCCATGAATCTGCATGTTAGCCATAGAACCAGATATTTCTGTTTCAAATAGTCCTCAGATTATACTTTGAGAAATAGTGTTCAAGCAAAACACTGATTGCAGTGTAAACAACCTCTTTGTATGTCTGTTTACTAGGTGGTGAGTGCCTTTACATCAGGGCTCTAGTACTTTTTTATCTCTCAGCAGTGCCCAACACTTTTTTGTTTGATCATTAAAAGTTACATGAATAGCCCTGGTCAGGTTGGCTTAGTTGGTTGGAACATTGTCCTGTACGCCAAAGATTGTGGGTTTGACTCCCAGTCAGGGCACATACCTGCTTTGTGGGTTCCATCCCTGGTCAGGGCAACTGATGTTTCTCTCTCTCTTTCCCTCCCTTCCTTCCTCTATCTCTAAAAATCAATGAAACATATCCTGGAGTAAGGCTTAAAAAAAAGCTACATGAATAATAGCTAACTTTTTTAAAAAAATATTTACAATTTCTAAAACTTTACATAACCTAATTCATTTATTATTTGTATCCTTAGGAGCAATAAGAATTATTATTATTCCCATCTTAGAAAGGAGGGAATAGCACAAAGAGGTTAATTATCTAGCTCAGGCTATTTATTTGGAAAATGATAGGCTAAGATTTGAACCCAGGCATTCTGGAGCCAGGCAGAGGCTGGGTCCACACTCAAGTATTACAATATGCTGCCTTTTTTTTTTTTTAAAGTGTGGTATTTAAAAATAGGCTTTGAGCAATAGATGAAATTTCCTTAGGGATAGATTATCGGGAAGGGCATTCAGGGTAAAAGTAAATTTTATTTTGAAAATCAGGAACCAGTCGGGTTTAACTGAATTGTTACATATGGCGAAGCAGGTTTCATGTGCTTTAAACTAATTTTTTAAAAATTTTTATTGATTAAAGTATTACATATGTCTCCTTTTCCCCCCACTGACCTTTCCCCAGCCACTCCCCTCCCCACCCCCCCAGTGTCTGTGTCCATTGGTTATGCTTATATGCATGCATACAAATCCTTTGGTTGATCTCTTACCCACTCCCCTCAGCTTCCCCTGCCTTCCCTCTGAGGTTTGGTGGTCTGTTTGATGCTTCTCTGTCTCTGGATCTATTTTTGTTCATCAGTTTATGTTGTTCATTGTATTCCACAAATGAGTGAGATCATGTGATATTTATCTTTCTTCTACTGGCTTATTTCACTTAGCTTAGTGCTCTCCAGGTCCATCCATGCTGATGCAAAGGTAAGAGTTCCTTCTTTTTTATAGCAGTGTAGTATTCCATTGTGTAGATGTACCACTGTTTTTAATCCACTCATCTGCTGATGGGCACTTAGGTTGTTTCCAAATCTTAGCTAGTGTAAATTGTGCTGCCGTGAACATAGGGGTACACATATCCTTTCTGATAGGTGTTTCTGTAAACTAAATTTTTGAACGATTTGAAAGAAATGGGATAATAGATAAAATACTGCAAAAGAGTTTGCTAAAAGAATGCAAATCTCACTTCAGAGGAATAGTGTCCCTATGTATATTCTAGTTTAGATTTTTATATCACTATTTCAGTTTCATGAAATAAAATAAAGGACTGTGTTTTAAAGTACCTAGTTAGTTATATATTTGGCCACCCCTCTGTGTGAGGCAATGCTGCCTTGTGAACACTAAGTAAATATGAAATAATAGGAACAATTTTCAGCTCTTTGTTATATATTAATGATTTTTTCTTGTGATTTATGAACTTAAGTAATTTTAGACCAGATATCACTGCATAGTTTGGTTTATGACACCCTTCTCCTAGAAAATGCCATGTACATTTATGTGTACATTAAAATAGAAGAAATTAAATTGCAGACCCTGCTAAATGCTCCATAAATCCCTATGAATTTTTTGGGATCACATTCTGATGTATATAAAGTACTGAGGTCAATGTAATTATGATAATATTGAATAGTGGTCATTTTTATCATTATAATGAGGTTGCTATTAGTCCATCTTGGGTTAGGTTCCACCTTGTGAAAAGATGAGCATTGTTCAACTATGAGAAATGATAATAATTAAAGTCCTGAGTTAATTCTTAAGCAGATTTGTACTGCAAGAATACAAAAAGGATTGTCAAAAAATGGTAAATCAAAAAATTGAACTGAGAATGAGAAAGGAGAGGGAGGGATTTGGAGACTATATTTGGTGTTGGTTTTACATTTCCCTGACCAGGAGGGAGAAATAGGCATGTTTATAGAAGATTGGTAAATATTTGTTGTGCTTTTGATGTTCTCTTCACAGTTTTGAAGTACATGGACAAGAGTCATCAGACAAAAGCTGTTTCCTGTAAGCAGGAGGGTCTTCCCTGTATTGCGCCCCTAATAGCCACAGTGGAGGAGACGCCACAGACCATCTCTGCCCAAGTCCGAGGACATTTCCCCAAGTGGCTCAATGGCTCTCTACTTCGAATTGGACCTGGGAAGTTTGAGTTTGGGAAGGACAAGTAAGCCTTGATTTTTGAAAGAGTTTGGAATTCTTAGCATGAACTTGTTCTATGGAATATGCATTACTATCTGCTTCCTCTCTGAGGCTAACATTGCCATGCAATCTCTCCCTCCAGAAGAGAGGAAACTAGCC